TGGGGTGAGGAGGAATAGGGCCTTAAGCTGTTTTTAAAAAGAAAAAAACAACTTAAATGAGTTTGTTTCTGCCATTCCTTGGTAGATCACTTTGCTTCCAGGCTAGAGGCTGGAGGTGTCACGATAGCTGGTCTTCTGGAGGTATCATGATAGCAATGCTCATGGCTAGATTTACAGCATGGAAAGAAAGGAATGAAATTTGGAAATCCCAAACAAATAGCTTACTATAAAAGTAATTTTTAAAAGTCATGTTTTCTGAAGAACGTGGGAATTGATGGAGATGAATCAAAGGATTCTCTATAGTGCCTGAACAAAATGCCTTTCATTTTTGGACTCATCAGTTTGATACCTTTCCCAGGCACATGGACTTTGTTTAAACATCTTGTTCTTCTGTCAGCAAGGAGTCCAGAGCCTGGTGCTAGCACATCTTTCCTGTGTAAGGACAAAATGGGCTGCTGGATTTGCTCTGATGCTGTTCCTTGTGGGCCGGTACCAGATTACTGCCAACATGATTTCAGTCTATCTAGATCTTAAGAGAAAGTAGGAGAAACGAGGGATATCTGGGAGTTTCCTGCTCAGCGCTGAAGACCTACCTGTGTGTCTGTAGGTGCTGTGTTGGCACAAGTGGTTTGTCGTTAAGGTGCTGAAGCCGAGAGCTCTGGCTCTAGACTGGTCTTTCCAGGAAACCTGGACTGTCAGGTTTGTGATTCTGCTCCACAGAGCTCCACTGGTGCAGAGTTGTTTCTGTCGGTGCCACCCAGCACTGGGACTGAACCCTGGCACTATCTGGCCCAGGCTGTTCAGTACAGAAAACAGCAAAACTCCCACCATCTGCACAGCTAACTATCCAGCTTGCCTGAAGAAGGCCTGGGAGTGAAACAGCCTCCACTTGCTACTGCTGGAGGGCCAGGGCACAGTGAGGAGTTGGTGTGGACCTTCCAAGCTTCATCTTGCTTGGGCTTCACAGTTTATTTCATAACGCGTAACAAGGACAGAGCACCCTGGCCTCTGAAGTGCTGAGGATCAGCTGCCTGGTTTTTGGAAGGTGTTTGGATGCAGAGGGTGAAAAAGGGCCCACAAAGGAAAGGAGAAGGCTGTTACTTGCTGCATTTGGCTGGTGCTCGTGATCTCTGCAAGCTGGTGAGAAACAAGGTTCAGGATGGCTATCGTATCTCTTTCTGTCCCTCACTGAGTAGGTATCTTCTGCCCATGTAAGTTGTTAGAAAACCATCGATGATGTACTGGTGTATCTGCTGCTTTTCTGTTGCCTCTTCATGGGTTATCTTGATTCTTTATGGGTTATTAAGGATTAGCTGTGGGTTTTGCTCACTGGGAAGTGGAAGCTGTTAGGGACTGTGATTTGAGCACATGGAGTATTTGGGATAACAAAGAACTGGGCAATTTGTGGGCACTCACTTGTGATCCCAAGGCTGGGAGAGTTGTGGTGGCAGAGTTCCTTTCCCAGCATGGGCTCAGCATGGCTGCATATGCTGCAGGGACATGGAGCTAGCCTGGCATAGTGGTAGCTAGTCCAGAGACACCTTAATCTGCTGAAAAACAGGGGAAATATTAATCATGTCCTGCATCTTTATCAATTTAAGCATACCCATTCCAGAACACTTAGGTCTTTTGGTTTGTGTGCCCAGTGTACAATGCGGTATGATTTTCCCCTGGTGTCAGATTGTAAGTGCTTTACTGTAGCAACTAATGCGTTGTTTCTGTAAACTGCTGGAGGACTGCTGCTGTATGCGGGGGCTGGACCTCCCAGTTGAAAGCTGCCTTGGCTGACCTATTCTTGGGACGGGAGAATTGAACTGATTAACAAACCAGCAAAGCAACACTTGCTTTGCTGCAGTAACTTGCAAGTACCTGTGCTCCTTTCTTGCCTACAGAGAAAAGCTGATCCTTTTTTCACCCCCTCTTTTTTTTTTTTCTTTTTTGTTGCCTAGGCTGGCAAGGGCGGTGAAGGGAGGAAAACAGGTGTGATGGCTGGGGTGCTTGGGTACTACTCCAGTGAGGTGTGAAGGCATGGAGAAACACTGGGAGCAAGGTACTTGGGTGGTGTTCAGTGCTGTATAGGAAGCTCTGAAAGCAGGAATCAAGACTCTCTGGTTTCTCCTGTCCCTTTAATGCTGAAATTTTTCACTTGGAGATGTCACCAGGCTGCCGTTAAAAATTGCTGCCGTCTTGCAGCACTGCAGACTGAGGTCTGGTCTGGGAGATGGAAGACAAGCTTTAGTGTGGCCAGGCTCACTCTGGATGTGATGGGTGCTTTTTCAGAGGTGGTAGTTTGAGGACATCTGCTGTGACACATTTCAAGCACCTGAGAGGAGGAAGAGAGCTGGTCCCAGTGAGCAAAAGATCCCTGGATGTGCTTCTACAGCTTGCTACCTTTCCTTAGCACAGTGCTCCTCTGTCCCTGAGCTCGCTTAGTCCTTTACATATTAAAGGTGCGTTAGCAGGGAAAATGGTGGAGGGGAAATAACACAAACAGGCTTCAGCTAGCTAGCAGGAGATACTCACCAGATGTGCTGCTGGGTTGCATGGCCTGTGTGCAGCTGCCCATCCTGGTTTCCTCTCCGGAAGTGCCATGTGCTCAGAGCACCAGTCCAGGGGCTACCAAAAAAAGCAGTAGCACATGGAATTGGGGAGAAGAGGGGTCCAAGCTGCTGGTGCTGCCTAGGGCTCGCTGAGATAGCTCATCTCCTGTGAGTAACTCCCTGCTCCTGCCTGAGCAATTGGCAGAGGACTCTGCAGGTTGGGCAGTCTGACCACTTAAGCATCTCATAGGTAGTCCAAGGGTCCTTGTTTGGGAGAGCAGCTGACTCCTTGTATCTCTGTTGTATGTCTGGCAACTCTGGGCCACACATATAACTCGTAGGATGAAGATGGTTTTGTGGAAGCCTTGAGAAGGGTTGTGTGCATGTCCTTCTGTCCTGCTGGCTTTGCAGAATGGCAGATGAAGGGAATTTGTGTGCTTGGAGGGGCAGGGGAGTGCCAGAGCTCAGAGATGCCCATCCATGTCTCAGTCCATGGTGGAGCTGAGGACCCATCTGCCCCAGCCAAACCCCGCAGCTCTTGCTCCCAGTGCTCAGACTGCGAATGCTTCAACCTGTCGACCTGCACACAGGTGCAGAGTTGCTGCTGGGTTGGTTTGCAAGTAACCTTCCAAGGGTTAATGTATTGTGAGAAGGTTGCAGAGGGCTGAAGCCTGGAATCCCCTCGATCCCTTGCCTGGAGAAACACAAAGTCCAATAAGCCAGCACCCCTGGATTCATGTTGGGGGGGATTAATTCATGCACTTGATGTTAAAGCTTGTCCGAGAGGTTTGTGCGGGGGGGCCATTGCTAGGGCTGGTTGGCCTCTCTAAATGGTTGCTAGGGCCCTGGCATCAAGGGCCAATGTAGCTGCCCACAGCCACGGTCACGGAGGGAATTACACAGCCACAAAGAAATTGTTATTCTACATAATCTGCTCTTTGGAGAGTGACTGTGGGGAAACAGGCTGGCCCCAGCATGCCGCCAGCTCTGTGATCATAGAAGCGTGCTGGCTGCAAAGATCGGCCAGGGCTCGCCTTCTGATCTGGGGACACCAGGGCTCGAGACACTAATCTGCTTTATCAGCGATTTCTCTCTCCTGACACAAAGGTGTTTACTTGTTTTAACATCTCCCAGGACTCTATTTCTCCTTTTGTGTGGTCTTTATCCCCCGACGAGGGCTTTAGCCCAGATTACAGACAGAATTAAGGCATTTGGCGATGTGCCTCAGAACTGTGTGTTGCTGGATCAAGGAGCAGAAAGTAACAAAATAATGGGGGGAGATGCTGGGAGTGACCCCACTGCGGGATCCGTGCTGTTGGCTTTCAGGACCGCTTCATTGTCCTGAGAATCAAGAGCCTGTTGGAGAGGGGTGGCCGTGCGGCAGGGTTTGAAAAGCAGGTGCTTCAAGGTTTATTGTGTCCAGCATTTTTGATTTGGATGGTGTGAGGAGGAGGAGGAGGAAGAAAAGGAGGGTTTGCAATAGGTGGCCATTTCAAGCAGCCGGGCAAATTGTCCCCCCCATTCCCAAGAGTCTGCCATGGCTGGGTGTTGCTGGCTGCTGGGGCAGGTGGAGTGATACTGAGTATGGGCTGTGCCATATGCCTGATGCAATTTCATATCGGCCAGGGAAGGGACTCTAACTCCTTCTGGCAGGGTGGGCCCTCACCAGGCACCATCCACCTGGTCAGCTGCTGGTTCTGCACATGAACAAGCAGCAGAGTGATACGGCCACAAAACGTCTGGCTTAGAGCTTCATGGAGATCTTGCTTTTGCTCTTTCACAACAAGCAAGGAATTAAAAAGGAAGAGGGGGTCAAAAAAAAAAAAAAAGGCAAGTTAGCCTTTGGAAAGTCATCTCCAGAGCAGCCCCGGGGTGGGTGCTCTTGAGCTGTCATGTTCAGCCCCAGATACGGTGTTTGCAGTATGCAGTGTAACTGGAGGGGGCTGAGGAGAGCAGGCATGGCAGACTGGGTCAGGAGAGTCTGATTTGCCTGTGGATCTGAGCTGTCTGTCAAAGATATGGGGGAAATACCCCAGTGGGCAGTATTTTGAAAGACAGAGGATGGGATGGGATTGATGAGGTAAGTGTCTGTTGCAGATTATCTGGAGTTTGACTAAGCTGAGAATTGTTTCCCATGGAGATGGACCCCCATCATTCAGAGTACTGGTCACTTCTCCCAAGGAAAATGTTCCCATTCTGCTGGAGGTCAGCTGTGCCTGTTCCTTGCCTCTTCCTCTTACAGCTGTGACTTCTGCTGGTCACCATCCACACCAGCTACTGGCCCAACCAGTAGCAGAAGCCGGGGGGGAGGGAGAAGAAAACTGTTGCAGGCTTTTGCATTCTGTTAAATCACAGAAATGAGATCTAAGAGACTTCTGTGACACCATCACTGGTCTGGCCAGCTGAATTGGAAGGGTGCTTTGCTCTGAATGACTCTTCTTCTGTTGTGTTTAATTGCAGTGGTCAGCTGTTGACCTGTTTAGGGACCGACTTCCACCATGGAGCTGGAGTCCTTGATGTCTTCTATGAAACGCCCTCCCTTCTCCTTTCTTGTGGGTATGACACCTACATCCGATACTGGGACATACGGACCAGCACCAGGTGAGCCTACCTTGCTGGCATCTGGGGCCTGCGTGAGGCTCCTGGGCTCTCCTTGTACAGAGTCTGGGGACTGGCCTGGAGCTGAGTTAGCTCTTTCAGGCAAATTGGGCCTCAGTTCCAGTGGTGGAGGAGTGGATGCTCAGCCCCATTCCCGTTTGTGTTGCCCTTGCAGGAAGTGTGTCCAGGAGTGGGAAGAGCCCCATGACAGTGCCCTGTACTGCATAAGGAGTGACAAGAACCATATGATTGCCAGCGGCTCTTCTTACTATGGTGTGGTGCGTCTCTGGGATAAGCGGCAGACTCAGTGCCTGCAGGTGAGGGCCAGCTGGAGGCTGGGCGGTAGCAGAGCCTCTGAGTTGTTGTCTGGCAGCCCAGTGCCCATGTCTCTTTGGAAGAAGAGAGAGGGGTTGCTGGGCTGTCTTTGAGGCAAGCCCACCATGGGGAACCTAACCTATGTGCAAGGAAAAGCCTGCTTTGCTCAGGCATCTTGGCCTTTGGGTCTGTAACACCGGTTGGGATCTTTGGGCTGACCTCATCTTTGAAAGACTGATTCTCCGATCTTCTTGCAGAGCTTTCACCTGTCTTCACCCACCAGCAGCCCAGTGTACTGCCTCCGTTTCAGTACCACTCATCTGTACGCTGCCCTGGCATCAGCCCTGCACGTCCTGGACTTCACGGCCCCGTGAAGGGTACCACAGCTGCTTCTGGTCACCCCAACTCAGCAGAGTTGACACTTGGCTCAGGGAATCACAGGGCAGGAGAGGTGAGAATGGCCCCCAAGGCTTCTGAAGGGATTTTCTTTTTTTTTGCCTGCCAGAAAGCTACAATGAAGAGTGCACAAAGGGCCAGACTTTTTCAACTTCACCTGCCTGTTAGTGAAAATAAAGGCCGATTGTCCTTTACCCTTTTTATTTTGTGCAGGTCAGGGTTTGTTTTATTAACTGTGTTCTTTTTGTCGTTTTTTTTTTTTCTTTTTTTGCTGTGGATACAGCATTTGAGGGGCAAGTTGAGCTGGGATGCCCTGTCAGCTGTGTGTGCTGGTCAGATTGAGATCAGCCAAGCTCTGAGCCATGTGAAGCAAGTCTAGGCTGTGTGTGGGGTGGACTCATTTGGTGGAAGGGAAAGGTGCCTGGAGCGCGCCCCGCCTTTCACCGGCGCTTGCTCTCCTGACAGCTGCTTATGTTGTCCTTCGCAGCCAAGAGCAAGAATTGAGCTAAAAGGCAGAGCCAGCCCTGCTTTCCGTGTATTGCCTCCCCAAGCTGGTGGTCAGATCAGGCTGTACACTTGGCAGGGCTGAAATGGTTGCATTTTGCTAAATAAAATTCTGAAGGGAAACAAAAGAGACTGTATGTTTTGTTTCAAGTTCCAAAGGGGCTGTGATGTTACCTGCTGATCACAGAGGCCTGGCTGGGCAAAGGAGGTTGGGCCTATTTTCAGACGCTGTCTACATGTCTAACAGATCTCTCTCCCTGGCTAGATCGTGTGACAGAAGGCAGTTCCTGGGATCTTGGATCTTGTGTCACTTTTTCAAACAAGAATTCAAAAAGTAGGATCTGCAACTCGCTTGCTGCCTGCATAATGAAGCAGCAAACTGGACTAGTGCAAACATGAAGGCCTTGATCTGACTTACTGGGATCCTGTAGGCACATCTAAGGAGGCTCTGCTCCTTTTTGTGTCAGCCTTCTGAACCTGAGCTGGGTCTCAGAACAACCACAGCTTTCAGCGTGCTCTGTACTGTCTGGATGAATGTGGGTGTCCATGGATGAATGTGCTGTGGGTGAATGCAGCAGTGTCTGGGGTCTGGTTCTCCTTGGGGAAGGAAGTGCGTGAACCCTACTTGGCCATTAGTTTGGGTATCCTGGATAGGTAAAGGAGAGGTTTTGTATCACAAACTGGGAGCACTTCTAGGGCAAAGCACCCAGCATGGTCCTTTGTTAGAACTTAATAGGTAATTTCCACTGGCAAGAGGCTGCTCTTCCCTTGTGATGCATGAAAATTGGAAGAGGATGTTTGCTGGAGCCCCTGCCTGAGCAGGTAGGGAGCGAAACCAACCAGCTCCTCACCTTCTTGAAGGGAACCCTCTGTTCCCGCTGGATGTGAGACAGCAGCACAGGGTGCAAGGTAATTTAAAGGCATAGCTTTGCTGCAGGATCACATTCTCACAAGGATCTTTCCAGCACAGCTCCCGGTCACAGTTCCTGACCTGTGCCTGTTTCTCTGCTGCTGCTCGTGCCTGCTTGCTGCCAGCTCCCTTGTAGCTACTGTGGTGCTACATATTCTCCTTGTGTAAGCGGCAGGGTTGATGTCTGAGTGCCCCAAGCAATGATCTACTGCTGTAAAAAGATGCCATGGCTGGAACAATCCTCTACAGCTTTGAGCTGATGGATCCCAAAGACTGCTAGTCCAAGGTAATGATTCTGAGGGGATCTCTGGATTATTGGTAACACTGAGCTGCTGCTGAAAAGATGGTGCATGGCATCAGGGGTTGCTAAATACTGCTGCTGTATTGCTTGGAGCACTTTTGGGCTCTGCCTGCGAGGAGAGCTTTAGGTAAGTGATTAGGCAGGAGATAGAAGACCAGAGAGCAAGCGAGCTGGCAGCACCTGAGACTGGGGGAGGTCTGTTTTTTTTTCAGGTCCTGGTGTGTTACAGGTCCTTTAATGAAACTGAGAGGGAGGGATGGAGATATTTAATGTCTTTGGCAGTGTCCCCAGGGAAGGCTGTGAAGGAACCAGAGTAACTGTGGGGTGGGAGGAGAGGTTCTTTATTGCGCTGGGACTTGGGCAAGGCCCAGTGTAGGAATGAGCCGGTCAGCTGAGCAGGTGAACAAGTATCACTGGTGCAGAAGACTCCTCATGTGAGAGGGCTGCCTGCAGTGCTGCTGCTGCCAGTCCTGCTGGTTCTTTTCTGCAGCCCGTGTTGGTGGGTCCTGTGCTCTTGTAGCTGCTTTTAGGTTCTTCCTGGCTGAAGCCTGGAGCAGAGCTGCAGGCCCATGGTGGTGCCAGCACTGGTGGGTAGAAGGATCTTAGGTGATATTGGGTAATGGGGAAGCTGCAAGCAGGGCTGGCATGCTGCATCTGATGAGCTCTGCCAGTTGGTGGTGCCTCCATTGTCTCGGTAGGACTATGCAGGTGGGTCCTGGAGCCACCCAGCAGTGAGGCTCTAACTGGGGATGCCACTCAGGCTCTAAGGAGTTTTCGTGGTTTGAAAGCAGTCCTCATCAGGGGAGCTGTGCTAGGAGCCTGCAACCAGCTCACTTAAAATTAGGGTTTGTTTGGCTACGAGCCGTTCAAGTATGAACAGGGATGGAAGGACATGCAGAAATCTAGGCACAGGGTAGAGACAGTAGCTGGTTGGAGGGTGAGCTGCTAAAGCAGCACTGCTGGAGTTGTCCCTGTGCACGGGGTGCTGTCTGTGCAGCACGGCTCGTGATGGGCCATGTTTGTGCCCTCACGGAAGGAGTGTGCTGCTGCTACTCCTGAGCTGGCCAGCGGCCCCTGTCACCGCTTTCCCCTCCATGCCATGCAAATGAAGGCAGCTGCATTTCAGTTCCTGCGTTCTGCACAGCCGTCTGCATGTCACATTGCGCATGGCTGGCAGTAAGGAAGAGGCTGGGTGTCCTCCTCTTCACCCTATTTCATAGGCTGTGACCATTCAGGTCTGAGCATTGAAGCTGTTTGCAGAGATACCAAGGTCATCAGAACGTCCTTCTAACTGCACCGAGGACCTTGCACAACAGCACAGGAGGGGGTTGCTTCCAAGCACAACCCAGGCAGGTAAGGGGTGCAAGGAGGGGGTTCTTGTTTTCCAAATGTTACTGCCTTCAGCAATGGTGGCAGACAGAGGGAATTCCCAAGGGGAACTACCCAGCTTTCATGTCTCTTCTGCTCATGGAGGATGGGGAGGGGACTGCTGGCTGTGGATGCAGTGTGCTTCCTTTGCATGCTGCAGCTTCCCACAACTCATAGAAGGATCATAAATGTCTGCGTAAATCAGCAGACTAAGCAGTAAAGAGTTTGACGGGCCTGCCGTCTCCCTGGGCCTACAAAGATTCCTCCAAACCGCTCTGTTAACAACAGGGCTAATTTTTATTAGAAAAGGCAAAATAAATACCATGAAGCTGTGCCAGAGAGCTGCCCTCCACCTCAGCCTCTTAGCAGCCACTGCCTACTGGGTCTTACAGTCGCCGTCCCCATTGTTAGCTGCCTTTATCTTCTTCAGCTCTTTCTGCAGCTGCTCTTCTGCAGCCAGGATCTCCTTTGGCTTCTGGTACTGTGGGACAAAGAGAAATGCCCTTAGCACTCCTGTTCAGCCTCTGCTCCAAGCAGAACAACTGGGGCCAGGTGCTACCAGTCCAGCTGGGGCACACCTGCCAAGGGAGGCCTTTCTGTTACCAGCTGCCTCCGAAGCTGTTTTGGAGAGGTGGTGCCATCAAGCTAGGGACATTTGCCAAGATCTGGAGTGTCTTTCACAGTGCAAGTTCAACTTTCCAGTTGGATGTGGAGTCCTGGCTCCCACCAACCCCTCTGGAATATCCTGGCAAGCCATGTCATGCAGATCACTGGTGTGCTCACTGACTCTGTGCTCACATGTGTTATATATATCTCTCTCTCTATAATATGCATTTTTTAAAAACACAGACAGACAAGTTGCAGTTCCTCTGTCCTCCCCTCAGAGGCCCCTCGCCCAGCTGCAGTTTAGTGGTGGAAGCAGGTGCTTTTTGGCAAGGGTTCAGCCCATAGCAGACAGAAGCTGAGAAGGACTCAAGGTGCTCTTCTTGGCCCCTGTTTCCTCTGCACGTGCACCCCCAGCTCTGCTGCAAGGTTTCCCTCGGAGGGGATGCTCTCTGGGCAGCTGACTTCTACATTTAAGAAGACAAGCACCTGGTGCTCAAAAGCATCTGTCTGCCTCTGTCTGCTCCTTGCAACAACAAGTAAGTGCCAGTTAGTCTCTCACTTCCACCATGTGCGTCCTCTCTGTCCTCTCTGACACAAAGCAGCAGGTGATTTTTTAAAAAAAATTCTTTATTTTAAGACTGCAAGACCTCTAAGTGCAGCCGGTCCTTGGACTCTTAACGCTTAAGCTCTGAGGCAAAAGAAACTTGCTGTCACTGAGAGTGGAGGCTTGCTCAGGCCTGAGGGAGGGGATACATGGAAAACAGGGCACTCTTCCACCTGCAAGTCACCTTCAGCAGCAAGCAGGGCCCCTCCCGTGGCCTGGGCTGTCCTGGCTAGTGTCAGCATGCCCAGTGTAATCTGAAACTCCCACTGACTGTGTGACAGAGAAGGGGGCTCATCAGTGACCCTCAGCAGATCTCCCTGCTCTGCCTCATTTCCCCACGTGTAAGAATTTTAACTTTTTTGTGGACATAAAGAGGAGGGCAAAGTGCTGTTCTGTGTGGCTAAAATCTCACCGTGATGATCAGGGTGTTGTTGGCATGGGTGAAGCTCAGGGCAGCTGCGTCCAAGGGGAGCTGGTATCGGTCCAGGTCAGGAATAGAGAACTTTTTGTAGTACCTACAAATGAGAGAAGAGACAGAAATGAGGAAATTGGCATTCCTATTCCCGTGCTATCAGTGCTGAGCTACAGAGTGCTGTTCTACAAGGTGTAGATGAGGACAATAGACCTCTCGGGGTTGGCAGAAGGACCCGGTGCCATGTTGTGTGTCTGCTGGTGCCCCCAGGCTGGCAGGAGCACTGGAAACAAACCTCCAAACTGGAAATCGGAGCTGGCAAAGTCCTGAAGGGCTTTGGTGTGTGAGACCAGGCTTGGTCCCTCCAGCTTGTCCTTGAGTATTGCCAGATATGGTTAGGGATAGACTACTCAGCCCTACCAAGAGACATCCCTTGTATTTGTCCCTGCTCATGGCCTCTCATTCCCTCTCAGTACCAGTTCCCATTAGCTCTTGTCAAAACAGCTGTCAAAGCCCTTGTGCCCTGTGACTTACTTTCCTGAGTGATGCACCATTTTCTGTTACAATCCTTCCTAAACCCATCTTTTTGGCCTCTTGCTGTGCTTCCTAGATAACTTCCTGCTTTGGCGGCA